TGGAAATGTCCTACTTTCAGAGTTTACAGTGGAGCCCTGGCCATACAAGACTTAGATTTCTTTATTTGCATTAAGAGCTGCCAGGCGATTTAAGGATCAGCCTGGATCCTGATAGTGCATACAGATACCAGGATAGAAGGGCTAAATGTGTAGTTTTGTGTCATGAGCCTTGAAATCCAGGGGACTGTGTAATTACTTGGAGTGGCTTCTGAATGGCAGTACCTGTTGGTGCTGTTGGCATTTTGGAGCCTGCAGACTGTTTCCTGTCCATGCCACACCGTGCATTGTCTGGGGAAAGTATCTCAGTGTGCTCTACTTTGAGCCGTGCTACAAAAATGTGAGCATGTCGAGAGCAAAACTCAACAGGGTTCCGTTTGGCTGCCCGAGGCCAGAAGCTTTGCTGAGGCTCTGAACCACACCACCACAAAGGGGCACGTTATTTGCCCTTTTAGGGAGTATCAGTGATGTGGGTCTCAGCTTTAAAAAAATTTTGGTCCAAATCTAGGAATAGTCATAGCAGCAGTTGCTTTGCCTAAGGCCAGGAGTTGGGAAAACGCATGGCTCTTGGCTGGGCATTGGAGATGCAGATTTCAGGGGGTGATGTGCAAGGCCTCTGACACAAAAGGAAAAGGCCTCTGGGAGAGAGATTACTTTTGTTTGCCTGTTTTGTCATTAGGAGAATTCGACTTGTCCAGTTTTCACCATTTCTAGGTACTGCTTAATGTTCTGGCCTGGCATGTAATGATGTAAATAATATCTTTAAAGGGCTTGTGAGCTTGTCTTTAGAAACGGCTCCCTGGGTACCCCGTCTCCAACTTCTTCCTGCTGGTGCTCGGAGAAAGTCATAGGAAATGCTACTTTGGCCAACAGGAAGGAGATATATGGAGGGTTTTCTAGTTTTCTCTCTCTAATAAAACAACAAGTAATACACGAATATATTATCATTTTAAAATTCAAACAATATAGACCTGTATCGAGTAAAACATGAGATCCACATTCCTCCTACTTCACCCTTCCAGCCCCATCCAAGAGTTACTGTGGCTAAGAGTGTATACCTTCTGTGTATACCTCCAGAGTTTTCTCTGCTACAAATGTACAGTTGGCTTATTCCTTTAAAATATCAATTGCATCATAATGTACAACTGTTCTCCACTTTTTTTTTTTTTTTTTTGCGGCTAAAATGATACTACCATGTTTCTACATCAGTGCACACAGGGGCACACCTCCAGCTTTTTAGCTGCTAAGGAACACTTCATTGTACCAGCATGAACGTACACTTAACTTGCCCCCCACAGACCCCCAGGGAGGGCATTTGGGGTTAGGGTGTATGGATTTTAATTTGATAGCTAAAGTGCCTTCCAAAGAGGCTGTGCCAAGTCACACATTCATGGATTTTTTTGTATGTGCTAAGAGGGCTTTAACAAATATTTAAAATAGCTTTCAAACAGTTATTTTTGGTCAAGCAGGTAAAGTTTTGGGATAGGTTCTAGGATAGATACACCCTTGTCAACACTCTTGGACCCAGGGGTAAAGGTTAGTGTTAATCAGGGTTCCTTTCAGTGTGAATGAGAGTGGAACTTCTCTTGTGTCCTTCAGCCATTTGTAGTTGTTTTTCTCTGACCTACCTGTGTGTGTATGTGTATGTCTGTATTTATCGCTTTTTCTGTTGGAAAGAGGATTTTCAGTTATAAAGGGATATGCTGTCTGCAAAAGTGAGTCTAGTCTAGTGCCTATAAGACAAGAAGGAGAAACCAAATTCCAAACACTCAGTGACCAGGCAGAGAGAGGGAGATGGGCTTGTCTGAGGTTGGTAGAGGCTGTCGCTCACAGGTTGCTTTGAATCAGGTCCGAGAAGGGTGATGGATGTCCTGAGAGGGGCAGATCCCTCCCCTGGTAGGGGGGCAGCTGGGAAGTCCTACAGCAGGTGTATGCCACAGCATCACATGTGGCGGGAGACAGCTGCATTCCTGGTGCAGGGGGCGGTCTGAAGCCCTGCCTGGGCAGGATGGGCACTACAAGCATGCACCACCATGCCCGGCTAATTTTTTTCTATATATTTTTAGTTGGCCAATTAATTTATATTTTTAGTAGACATGGGGTCTCACTCTTGTTCACGCTGGTTTCGAACCAGCCTGAACTTGAGCAATTCTCCCACCTCCCAGAGTGCTAGGATTACAGTCGTGAGCCACTGCGCCCAGCCAAGTTATGGTTTTTTTACTTTCATTTATTTTTTTGAGACAGGGTCTTGCTCTGTTGCATGGGCTAGAGTGCTGTGGTGTTATCACAGCTCACTGCAACCTCCAGCTCCTGGGCTTAAGCAATCCTCCTGCCTCAGCCTCCTGAGTAGCTGGGACTGCAGGCGCCTGCTATCACACCTGGCTAATTTTTCTTTTTTTTTCTTTTTGGTACAAATGGAGTCTCACTCTTACTCAGGCTGGTCTCTAACTCCTGACCTCAAATGATCCTCCTGCTTCCTGCTTTGGCTTCCCAAAGTGCTGAGATAACAGGCGGGAGCCACTATGCCCAGCTGAAAGTTGTGTTTTTTAATGATCACATGTAAAGCTGGGGTCCAGAATTCCTTCTTAGGAAGAGAAAGGGCACTTCATATCCATCTGCTTTGTGCCTGGTCCTACAGAAGGTGCCAGGTGATGGCTTTCAGGTCTGTCCTCACAGTACACACAACTCCAAGATTGCCTTGGGAGAGGGTCTGTGACAACACCAGAGATATAGATTTGGGAGCAAAGTTCTCATTTTTGCTGGTGATCTTTTCATTCCTCTGAGCGTGTCCCACAGAAGGTTTCTTTCTGATTGTTAAGTTGTATTGTAAAATGGTTTGTCTTCAGTGCTTAGAATGACCCTCCTGACAGGAAAGACGGAGAAATCCTTCTCTTTAGGTCTGACATTTGAAGTTACTAGAGGAAATCCTTTCATGGCGTGTCTCAGCAATTTTGTTTTTCATCAGGCATGAAGGTGAGAGGAACTAGCTCCATAAATCTCTTTCTTGATGGCCAGGTGAAATTTGGTATGAGAATAGGATTATGTGGGTTATTTACTGTTTAATGAAAACCTGGTAGTGTTTACTTGAAAAAAAAAGAGCGAGAGTGAATAGGGGTAGAGATGAAACAAGACTGAACATGTGTTGATGATTCCACAAACTGGTGACAGGTACTTGTGATTCATTATTATTTTCTCTACTTTTGCATAGGTTTTTAAATTCCCATAGGAAAGCTAACATATATATATCTTTCTCAGCAACTTGGTCAATGTTCAGGTTTCACAGAGGACACCCTATTTGTTATGGGAGGAAACTGAGCATCTCTGCTTATCCAAAATTACTAAATAGTTCAGAACACATGGAAGCTGTGGACTTTTCTCTCCTGTCCCCTTCTCTCGCCGATCTGTTCCTACAGCCTATCGTCTTGGTCCTTTAGAGAGTAGCACAATGTGTGTTAAGTTATTTCACTGGGGCTCCTTATCTGTGTTATTCATGAGGGCAGGGAGTGCCTGTTTCATATTTGAAGGCCCAGACACGGTGCCCGGAATGCAGCCATAATGCAATAAAAGTTTGTTAAATGCACATCAAATATGTTCTTATTTATTTATTTATTTATTTTGAGACTGAGTCTTGCTCTGTCACCCTGAATAGAGTGCAGTGGTGTCATCATAGCTCACTGCAACCACCAATTCCTGGGCTCCAGTGATCCTTTGCCTCAGCCTCCTAAGTAGCTGGAACTACAGGTGTGCACCACGATACCTGGCTAATTTTTCTATATTTATTAAAGATGGGATCTCACTCTTGCTCAGGCAGGTCTTGAACTCCTGGCTTTCAAGTGATCCTCCTGTCTCGGCCTCCCAGAGTGCTAGGATTACAGGCATGAGCCACTGAGCCCCACCAAATACGCTGTCATTTTTTAAGGCTCTGTATACAAAATGTGATGTGAGTTGGGTTATGACTCATGGTTGTTTAAAAATATATTCACTGCACCATTACACACCCATTTCTTATCAAAAAAGAAAAAGAAAAGTGTTGGCAAGGATGTGGAGAGGTTGGAACCGTTGTGTGCTACTGGTGGCAATATAAAATGGTGCAATCACTGTTGAAAAATGGTACGGTGGTTCCTCAAAAAATTAAAAGTAGAATTATCATATGATCCAGTAATTCTACTTCTGATATATACTCACAGTAACTGATATATACCCACAGGTTAAATCATGAGCTCCTAGTTTCTGTGCATGCTCCTAGCTGGGAAAAGTCCCTAACCTTAAGTTCTTGCTGTTGCAGGTTTGGTTCTAGATGCTCTTTGGCCTCCTCACATTCGCCCCTCTCCTCTTTTCTTGTGATTAGCACTGCCAATCTGCACTGGTCCCTAACATTATGACATGGATAAACCTTGAGGACATTATGCTAAGTGAAGTAAGCTAGTCACAAAAAACAAACACTATATGATTCTACTTATACAAGGTACCTAGAGTAGTAAAATTCACACTGTAGGGTCAGAAAGTAGAATGGTGGTTTCCAGGGCTTGGGGGAAGAGGGAATGGGGAATAGTTGTTTAATTGAGTTTCCATTTTGCAAGATGAAAAGAGTTCTGGAGATTGCATAACAATATGAATGTTCATAACACTACTAAACTGTACACTTAAAAATGGTTACGGGCCGGGCGTGGTGGCTCATGCCTGTAATCCTAGCTCTCTGGGAGGCCGAACCAGCCTGAGCAAGAGCGAGACCCTGTCTCTACTATAAATAGAAAGAAATTAATTGGCCAACTAATATATATAGAAAAAATTAGCCGGGCATGGTGGTACATGCCTGTAGTCCCAGCTACTTGGGAGGCTGAGGCAGAAGGATTGCTTGAGCCCAGGAGTTTGAGGTTGCTGTGAGCTAGGCTAAAGCCACGGCACTCACTCTAGCCTAGGCAACAAAGCGAGACTCTGTCTCAAAAAAAAAAAAAAGGTTACGATAGTAAATTTTATGTTATGTATATTTTACCACAATTGAAAAATATTCACTGCAATACTAAGGAGCCTCCTAGCTTCAAATAACTAGGGCCACTTGCCTCTCCACTTTTTTCATGGGATGTACACACTAATTTTCCATAGCTGCATGTGACTTGGTAGTGACAAAAAGCTATGGAAATGGGGATCGTAAATGTGGGTTAATGAAATCAATCTGAAACTATCTGCTTTCAAATCCCATTTATCACTTGAGCTATAGAATTTAGTTTTACTTTGTACAAATACAAATTCATTTAGTCCATAATAATTTTCAATAGGCACAAAGACTAAAGAGTTTTATAATAATAAAAAAGAAATCTACCAAGGACTTTAGTGAAATAGGCATAGTGGAGAAGAGGAAGGTCAACTCAATTTCCCAAAAGGGAATATGAAACTTAAAACCTCCCTTGGGGAAATGCTGATATATATTCTACTTTCTGTTGCTCAATAGAGAAAAAATGGTTGATAATGAGGAGAAAGGAATCCATGAGAGTGGGGGATGAATTCTGTTCCCAGTAGCACTCTGAGGTCACCAAGTGACCTTAAACAAGGCCCATAATCTCTGGGAGCTACTCCTTTCTAAAGATAGGGGAGTGCATATATAAACAGCATTTATAAATGCTTGTACTGGCAGCATGAGAGAGGTTCAAAGGAGAGGTTCTTTCTCACATGTCTCCTTGTGAGTATGACACCTGAGGAACAGTAATTTACAACAAAGTGCGTAACAAACAGATCATAATAAGGCTGGTGCCATTCCTGACCTCTGGAGAGCTCTGGTTTTAGGAATAGGTTTTCTTAGCAGCTCTTCTGTCCCCGAAGTTCAATCCACGACTGGCAGGAAGTATTGGCTCTGAGCTGAGGCAGATGGGAGTAGTCCGAGTTTCTGTGAGGATAAATTAAAAATAGCAGCCATCATTCCCTGACATCAAAGGGATGGGACCTGATAGCTATTGAGTCTGGGTCCAGAAAAAACAGTACAAACAAAGCTTTCTAGAACAGTAAAAATGAACTCAGAAAACAGGGTGAAATATGAACCTGGAAAGTCCAACCACAGCACAGTAAGGCTGTGGCAATAAAACAAACATTTCTTAATTATTTTAAATGATAAATATGCTGATTATGCAAATGATCCATACTGAAGTATATGTTCAAAAAAACCTGAAAAGACGAACACAAAATACTGATTACAGGCCGGGCGTGGTGGCTCACGCCTGTAATCCTAGATGAGGCGGGTGGATCACTCAAGGTCAGGAGTTCGAAAGCAGCCTGAGCGAGACCCCGTCTCTACTAAATATAGAAATAAATTAATTGACCAACTAAAAATATATATACAAAAAATTAGCTGGGCATGGTGGTGCATGCCTGTAGTCCCAGGTACTCAGGAGGCTGAGGCAGGAGGATTGCTTGAGCTCAGGAGATTGAGGTTGCTGTGAGCTAGGCTGACACCACGGCACTTAGTCTAGCCTGAGCAACAAAGTGAGACTCTGTCTCAAAAAAAACACAAAAAAACAAAAAAACAAAATATTGATTATAGTACACAAATATACTAAAACTCAGAAGCACATTTGGAGTAATAAAAATAGAGTATTCACAAAGCTAAATAATATAATCAAAACAGCATGATACTAGCATCAATAGACATATATATATATCAATGGAATTAAATTGAGAGTACAGAAATAAATGCATACATGGGTGGTCAATTGATTTTTCTCAAGGGTATTAAGACCACTCAGTAGGGAAAGTTTAGCCTTTCAGCAAATAATGCTGGATATCTACATGCAAAATATGACACCAGAAGCATAAGCAATCAAAGAAAAAACAGATAAACTAGAGTTCATCAAAATTTACAACTTTTATGCATGAAAGGACTATCAAGAGGCCAGGCACAGTGGCTCAAACCTGTAATCCTAGCGCTTTGGGAGGCCAAGGCAGGAGGATCGCTTGAGCCTAGGAGTTCAAGACCAGTCTAGAAAGAGTGAGACCCCATCTCTACAAAAAATTAGCCAGGCACCTGTAGTGCCAGCTACTCCGGAGGCTGAGGCAAGAGGATCACTTGAGCACAGGAGTTGGAGGCTACAGTGAGCTATGAAGACATCACTACATTCCAGCCCAGGCAACAAGAGTAAGACTGTCTCAGAAAAAGGGGGAGGGAGGATGAGACTATCTAGAAAGTGAAAAGATGATTCACAGATTGGGAGAAAATATTTGTAAATCATATATCTGAGAAGGGTCTAGTATCCACAGTATATAAAAACGTCTTGTAACTCAACAACAAAATGACAACAACCCAATTTTAAAAATTGGCAAAGGGCCGGGCACAGGGGCTCATACCTGTAATCCTAGTACTTTGGGAGGCCGAGGCAGGAGGATTGCTTAAGGCCAGGAGTCTGAGACCCATGTGAGCAAAGTAGTGAGACCCCATCTGCTGCAAACAATACAAAAATTAACTGGCATGGTGGTGGGCACCTGTAGTCCCAGCTACTTGGTAGGCTGAGGCACAAGGATTGCTTGAGCCCAGGAGTTTGCGATTACTGTGGGCTACGATGACTGCACTTTAACCTGGGCAACTGGCCAGGCGCGGTGGTTCACGCCTGTAATCCTAGCTCTCTAGGAGGCTGAGGTGAGCAGATCGCTCGAGGTCAGGAGTTCGAAACCAGCCTGAGCAAGAGCAAGACCCCCGTCTCTACTATAAATAGAAAGAAATTAATTGGCCAACTAATACATATAGAAAAAATTAGCTGGGTGTGGTGGCGCATGCCTGTAGTCCCAGCTACTCGGGAGGCTGAAGCAGCAGGCTTGCTTGAACCCAGGAGTTTGAGGTTGCTGTGAGCTAGACTGATGCCACGGCACTCACTCTAGCCTGGACAACAAAGCGAGACTCTGTCTCAAAAAAAAAAAAAAAAAAAAAAAAATTTGAGAAGCATCGATCTCAATAAATTAAAATTTTTGAAAAAAAAAAAAAAAAAAAAAAAAAAACCTGGGCAACAAAGTGAGACTTTGTCTCAAAAAACAAGCAAACCTACTGTAGATGAAATAAATTATACATTTTTTTAAAATTTGGCAAAGAACTTCAATAAACATTTCTCCAAAGAAGATAAACGGCCAACAGGCATACTAGGATAATACAAATCAAAACCACAATGAGATACCACTTCACATTCACTAAGATAGCAATAATTTTTAAAAAGGGGGGAAATAACAACTGTTGGCAAGGACATGAAGAAATTTGGGTCCTCATACATGCTGGTGGAAATGAAAAATGATGCAGCCACTATAGAAAACATTTGACAGTTCCTCAAAAAGTTAAACATAAAAGAATCAGCAATTCCACTCCTAGGTATATTCCCAAAAGAACTGAAAACAGTTATCAAATAAAAACCTATACATCAATGTTCACAGTAGCATTATTCATAAAAGTCAAAAGGTGGAAACAACCCAAATGGCACCACCTGATGACTGGATAAACAAAATGTGGCATATCCATACATAAGGATATTATTCAGCCATAAAAAGGAAAGAGATCCTTATACATGCTACAACTTAGATGAGTTTTAAAAACATCATGCCTAGTAAAAGAAGCCAAGCACAGAAGATTACATATAGTATGATTCCATTTATATAAAACATCCAGAATAGACAAATCCATAGAGATTAGACAGTAAATCAATGGTTGCCAGAGGGTGACGAGAAGGAAGAATGGGAGGTGGCTGCTAACAGGTACTAGCTTGCTTTTAGGGGTGATGAAAATGTTCTGAAATTAGACAGTGGTGACAGTTGCACAACCTTGTGTATATACAATGATGTTTTGGTCAACAATAGACTGTGATCCCATAAGATTATAATACTGTATTTTTGGCTGGGTGCAGTGGCTCATGCCTATAATCCTAGCACTCTGGGAGGCCAAGGTGGGAGGATGGCTCAAGGTCAGGAGTTCAAAACCAGCCTGAGCAAGAGCAAGACCCCGTTTCTACTAAAGATAGAAAGAAATTAATTGGCCAACTAAAAATATATATAGAAAAAATTAGCCAGGCATGGTGGTGCATGCCTGTAGTCCCAGCTACTCAGGAGGCTGAGGCAGTAGAATTGCTTGAGCCCAGGAGTCTGAGGTTGCTATGAGCTAGGCTGATGCCATGGCACTCTAGCCCAGGCAACAGAGTGAGACTCTGTCTAAAAAAAAAAAAAAATACTGTATTTTTACTCATTTTCTATGTCTTGATATATTTAGCTACACAAATACTTACCATTATGTTACAGTTGCCTACAGTATTGAGTACAGTTACATGCTGTAAAGGTTTGTAGCCCAGAGCCCAGGAGCTACAAATAGGCTGTACCATATAGCCCAGGTGTGTGGTAGGTAGGCTATACCATCTAGGTTTGTCTAGGTATACTGTATGACATTAGCACCACAATGAAATTGCCTAACAATGCATTTCTAAGGACATATCCCTATTATTATTTTTTTTTTTTTGAGACAGAGTCTCGATTTGTTGCCCAGGCTAGAGTGAGTGCCGTGGCATCAGCCTAGCTCACAGCAACCTCAAACTCCTGGGCTCAAGCGATCCTGCTGCCTCAGCCTCCCAAGTAGCTGGGACTACAGGCATGCACCACCATACCTAGCTAATTTTTTTTATATATATTAGTTGGCCAATTAATTTCTTTCTATTTATAGTAGAGATTGGGTCTCACTCTTGCTCAGGCTGGTTTCGAACTCCTGACCTCGAATAATCTGCCGCCTCGGCCTCCCAGAGTGCTAGGATTACAGGCATGAGCCACCACGCCCGGCCCATATCCCTATTATTAAGTGATGAATGACTGTATTAAAAACTGCTGAATTGTATATTATAATATGGTGAATTTCATGGTATGTGAGTTATATTAAAAAAGAGCTTTTATAAGGTTTTTGTTGCTAAATTTGCTTAAACTCAGTACATTTTGTTTTAAACTGTATCTGTGTCTTAATATTTTTCTTTTTTTTTTTTTCTGAAAGAGGGTCTTGCTCTGTAGCCTGGGCTAGAGTGTAGTGGCATCATCAGAGCTCACTGCAACCTCAAACTTCTGGGCTCAAGCAATGCTCCTGCCTCAGCTTCCCAAGTAGCTAGGACTACAGACACGTGCCACCACACTGGGCTAATTTTTCTGTTTTTTGTAGAGATGGGGTCTTGCTCTTGCTCAGGTTGTTCTCGAACTCCTGAAGTCAAGGGATCTTCCTGCCTTAGCCTCCCAGAGTGCTGGGATTACAGGCGTGAGCCCCCACGCGTAGCCTATCTTGTCTTTCAATACCCAACACAAATGTCATAGGTGCCTGAAGCTTCTTCAGCTGCCCCTGCTCCATATCTCAGAAAATGTTACTTTCTCTATACCTGTCTCTGTATGTTTGTCTACAGTGGTATTTCTTATACTATACTGTCAAGACATGGTCCCATGTTTGTCCTCTTCTTCCCTCTTCACTCTTCAGCCCAGATTGGGACCTCAAGGAAGCACAACTTTCTTATTCCACCTTAAGCATCAGTGTAGTGCTTAGAATAGAGTAGTAAGAGAAGAAACTAACATTTACTAAATGCCTAAGAAGTGCAGGGCATATAACAATATTCACAACCATCCTGTGATGTGTATCTTACCATTGCCAATTTACAGATGAGGAGACTGAAGTTCAGAAAGGTGAAGTTACTTTCCTAAGGTCATTCAACTTGTTAAGTGGTGAAGTTGAAGAGTTGACATCAGAATTGGACTTCTGCCACTCAAATCCAGGGTCCTCCTAGGCAGTACAGAGAGGTAGTGACTGGCATAGGCTGTGAGATCAGACTGCCTGGGTATATATTAATATCCTGGATCTTCCACTTTCTTTGTGACTTTAAGCAAATTAACCTTTTTATGATTTCTTCATTTGTAAAAGGATGATAATAACAGTGTCTACATGTGGAGTTTCTATGAAGAACGGATGAAATAGTATACATAAAGCATTTAGAACAGTATCTGGGACATACTAAGTGATCAATAAATGTTAGCTATAACATTACTGTCCCACGTTGAGCTAGTATTTGGTAAACACTGGATGGGTGGACAAAATATACATCATTCTATGCAGAGATTGCTGAATTATCCATCCCACTGTCAAGTCAGGACTAGAGTCTCTTTGGAATCCAGAGAGGGAATGTGAAAGCCCTAACAAGTATTAACAGAAACTCTAAGGTGATAACAGTGACCTTTTAAAGACTCTTTGAGGCCCAGTGTGGTGGCTCACACCTGTAATCCTAGCAGTTTGGGAGGCCAAGGTGGGAGCAGTTTTGCTTGAGGCCAAGAGTTCGAGACCAGCCTGAGCAAAAGCAAGACCCCATCTTCTACAAAATATAGAAAAATTAGCTGCGCATGGTGGTGCACACCTGTAGCCCCAACTACTCAGGATGCTGAGGCAGGAGAGTTAATCAAGTCCAGGAGTTTTGAGGTTGCTGTGAGTTCTGATGATGCCACTGAACACTAGCCCAGGTGACAGAATGACACCCTGTCTCAACAGAAAAAATAAATAAAATACAAAAATTAGGCCAGGCGCGGTGGCTCACACCTGTAATCCTAGCACTCTGGGAGGCCAAGGCAGGAGGATCGCTCAAGGTCAGGAGTTCGAAACCAGCCTAAGCAAGAGCAAGACCCTGTCTCTACTAGAAATAGAAGAAATTGGCCAACTAAAAATATATAGAAAAAATTAGCTGGGCATGGTGGTGCATGCCTGTAGTCCCAACTACTCGGGACACTGAGGCAGAAGGATTGCTTGAGCCCCGGAGTGTGAGGTTGCTGTGACCTAGGCTGACACTCTAGCCGAGGCAACAGAGTGAGAGTCTGTCTCAAAAAAAATATATATATATTAAAAAAATTAAAGACTCTGAGCTGACAATGCCAAAAAATTGAGTGGAAATCAAACATTTTCAATTGTATTTCAAGCTAAATTGGATTTGCTAAGCCACCAAGCATAATGAGAGCAAAATTAAAAGTTCAGCTAAGCTCTAGCTTCTGATCCTACATGATGGCAGTAACAAAAATAGTATTAATACTAGCAGAAGCTCTTAGTATATGTGAGGCACTCTTCTAAATACTTTACATACATTAACAATTTAATGTTCATTAGAACAGGTTCTCCTACTGTATCCAAGAGAGCAGAAACTTGGAGCAAAAAGCAGATTGCTGGCTGATGGCAGAGCCACTCCAGGGATGGTGAGGCTTTCTCATAAATCTGATGACTCAGGAAGGTGACAAAAGGTTAGGTCACTCAGTGCCGGAGAGGACAAGATCCTAGAAAGTAGACGTGCTTCACTATTGCCTTGGTGGCAACAGCTTGGCTGCAGCTGGGCAGAATTTCTATTCCCAATGTCAGGGTAATAGGGAAACTGCAGCCACTGCTGCATAAAACTCAAGAATACTTAAAAGTGATGGCCGACTTCCAACTGAGCCATTAAGGTAAATGTAGAAGCAAGCTCCAAGTAGAAATATCCTTGGGAGCTCAGAACACACTGAGTGTTTGAAGCTGGCACTTCATCTATTATTGAACTCAGGGTTTGCCATTCTGGGGGCAGTTTGAGTGCACTTATGACACCTCCCCATAACACTGCTCACTCTGTCAACTGGGTTTCACAGAGGGTGAGAAGGGCAGCAATCAGATACAGTTGGGCCTCATAGTAATTAGATGTTGATTTCTCTTGTCTTTGCATTTCCTTCCAGCTACAATCACTCTGTGATCTCGTTTTGGATTCTTTTTTTCTCTGTTTTACTGACTGTAATGGAATAACTGCAGAAGCTCTCAATATGTGTGAGGCAATATATATGAAGAAGATGTAACATTTATCAGTATTTCCTGACATACAAAATCTTTTTTTTATTTCATTTTAATTTTTTTATTCTTTTTTTTTTCACTAGCATGCAAGTTTAGTTTGTTTTTATTGACATAAAAAATCTTTACAGGGCATCTCCTAAGAAGAAATGAGATGGAGACAACTGTGTAAAAAAATAGGTGAAGAAAGTTTCCAGAACAGTCCTCATGATATCAGAATGGGAGAGGCAGCCAGGAGGAAACTAGATGATAAAAGGAAGAGCAGTTCCTGACAGAAAAGGTACTCAATAGCCATTTGCTGCTATTGAGTACTATTGAGAAGGTACTCAATAGCCCAATGCTGCTATTGCATTCTATTACTATAAATAGTCATAGAATGAAATATCAGGATTATGAAGGAAGAACAAAGTTATTTTCCCAGCTACCTTGCTGTTCCCCTACCCAGGATATATTTAATAGATTAACATCCAATTTATGTATTATTTACATAAATACAAATGCTAACTATAACCATATATGATAAACTTAAAGTAATTCATGCCAAACACAACGATCAGGACTTGGTGCACCTGAAATACGCAAATGAGTATTCTAAGGACACAGCAAAGACTAGGGCAAAAGTGCTGCATTCCTCAAGTTAACCCACAGAGCTCATCATGCCATGTGACTGCATAGACTAGGCCTAGCATCTGGCTAGATCAATAGCTCCAGCTCTAAACCCAGGACTTTCTTTTCCTGATCCCCCTCTCTGACTGCTTAGAACTACTGGATTCCATCCCTGAATATCACTGTTTATTGCAAATGTTCTTTATAAGCTTGAAGTCTGGACTGGAGGCCTGGTTTCTTACCTCTACTTTGAGACCTATTTCCCACCTTGAGTTCACACAACCTCAAAGCTACACACAAAGCTTGTTTGTGCTTTTTGTTTTTGTTTTGTTTTCTTTTTTTTGTTTGTTTGTTTTTGAGACAGAGTCTCACTCTGTTGCCCCGGGCTAGAGTGCCATGGCATCAGCCTAGCTCACAGCAACCTCAAACTCCTGGGCTCAAGCGATCCTTCTGCCTCAGCCTCCCTAGTAGCTGGGACTCCAGGCATGCGCCACCATGCCCAGCTAATTTCTTTCTATATATATTTTAGTTGGCCAATTAATGTCTTTCTATTTTTAGTAGAGACGGGGGTCTTGCTCTTGCTCAGGCTGGTTTCGAACTCCTGACCATGAGCAATCCGCCCGCCTCGGCCTCCCAGAGTGCTAGGATTACAGGCGTGAGCCACCGCGCCCGGCCTTGTTTGTGCTTTTTTAACAGCCTGCCTGGGCTCAAGCCACCATCCTGCCTCAGCCTCCTGAGTAGCTAGGTTTAGAGGCACATGCCACCACTGCCGGCTCTGCCTTTGTTTTTTGTTTTGTTTTCTTTTTGAGACAGACAGAGTCTAACTCTGTTGCCTGGTGCCATAGTGTTAACCTAGCTCACTGCAACCTCAAACTCCTGGGCTCAAGCGATCCTTCTCCCTCAGCCTCCTGAGTAGCTGGGACTACAGGCATGCGTCATCATGCTCAGCTGACATATATATATATATATATATATATTTTAGTTGTCCAGCTAATTTCTTTCTATTTTTTGCATTTGTTTTAGTACCTCCTATCCCATCCCCAGTTACCCAAGTCTAACTCTAATTTTTCTGTCCAGTCATCCCACTAGTCCCATATCGAATTGCTTGCTGGGCATTTCTACCTGCATACCTGTCCTTACATCAAGTTTGAAATCGCTAAGACCAAACCCATTATATGTCTCTGTATCTGCTTCTCTTCTTAACCTCCCTGGCCTGGCTACTGAGCAACTAGAATGGATGTGTAACTACTCAGAATGCCCCAGGCAATAGGCCAAATCAGTGTATTGGGTCCAATGTCTGCCCTGTCCATAATCCCAGGCAGCTAACTAAACTTGAAGGTGTTGTCTGTTCCTATATTCTCCCTTCATCATCTCCTTTTCCTTCCACAATCCACATGTCCACGTGTTTTAGTCCCCCCCACCCCAAATTCCTCCTGACAAGAACACCAAAGGCTTTCTTGTTACTAAAACCAATGGATTCTTTTTAGCTTTTATTTTACTTGACCCTCCTGGCAGCCTTCAACAATGCTGACCACTCCCTCATCCCTGGAACACTCTTCTTAGCTTCTCTGACACTGAACTCTTCTGGTTTCAATCCAGCCACCTCTGGCTACACCTTCTCAGCATTCCACAACCTGCTTTTCCTGCTGTTTCTTATCTCAGTAAATGGCACTGCTATCTCCTAAACTCCCAAACCAGAAACCAAATTCCTTAGTTCCTCCTATTGGCTCCTGGCATCTCTTCAGTTATCTTATTCTTCTTCTTAGCTTGCCTCTTTCCAGCTTCACTGCCCACATTTTTAGAGCACTTAACTATGTGCCAGACAGGTGTGTTCTAAGTGATTTAATCCTCACAACAAGCCTATAAAGTAAATTTTATTATCATTTCTTATTTTTGGATTAGGAAACAGAGGCAAAGAGTGGTTAAGTAACTTGCATAAGGTTATGCAGTTGCTAAGTGGCAGAGCAGGATTCAAACCCAGATAGCCTGACTCAAATCTGGGTCTAGGTCACTATTCTCTCGAAATAGGTCACTGCAACAGCCTTCTTGTTGGCCTTCTGGCCTTTTGTCATAGCTTCCTCTAATCCTCCACCCTGTGGCCAGAGTGATCTTTGCTAAAACATCAGTCTGACTCTTGTCACTCGTCTGTGTAAAACTCTTCACTGGCTTCTTAGTGCCTTCAGGATAAAGTCTACACTCAACATGGCATTCAGGAACCTCTGTAAGCTGGCTAGCAAGTGGTTGTCTCTTTGGCTCAAGTTTTTGGTTCTTGTTTTTTATTTGAGTCAGAGTCTCACTCTGTTGCCCGGGCTAGAGTGCCATGGCATCAGCCTAGCTCACAGCATCCTCAAACCCCTGGGCTCAAGCAATCCTTCTGCCTCAGTCTCCCGAGTAGCGGGGACTACAGGCATGTGCCACCATGCCCGGTTATTTTTTCTATATATATTTGAGTTGGCCAATTAATTTCTTTCTATTTTTAGTAGAGATTGGGTCTCACTCTTGCTCAGGCTGGTTTCGAACTCCTGACCTTCCACCCGCCTCAGTCTCCCAGAGTGCTAGGATTACAGGCATGAGCCACTGCACCTAGCCAAGTTTTTGGTTCTTTATAAAATGCTCTTTGTAAGCTATGAAGTCCGACTTGAGGCTTGGTTTCTTACCTCTACTTTGAGACCCATTTCCCACCCTGAGTTCACACATCCTCAATATGCTCATAAATTTTTTGGTTTGACTTTAACCACAACCCTGAGACACCAGCCACAATGATAGCTTACACTTCCAGGCTTTTGCACATTATTTGATGTGCCAAGAACACTAACTCCTTCCCACCTTCAGATTTTACTTCCTCTGATAAGCCTTTTCTGACTTCCTAAGACTAAGCTATGTGCCTCTTCTATGAGCTTTCACAGCACCCAGTACTACTTATATAATGCCCTATATTGTTTTTATGTTCCTATGTGTTAGCCTGATCTTTCTAACCAAACTGTAAGTTTCTTGAAGATAGCAAATATACCCAGTACTTCTAAGTTAGGGGTTACTCACACAAATTCCTAATAAAAACAGCTAACATTTATTCAGGGTTCCATGAATGTCAACAATGCAATTATGTGGCTAATACTTGTCTATCTCCCTCCACATGAGGAAACTAAATTCGAGAGAGTTTAGTAGCTTGCCTAAGATAACACAACTAGAAAGCAAGAGAGGTAGGACTTGAATCCTGATATTGGAGCCTGTACTCTCTACCACTGTAAGACCCTAAGGAGCCGGACATGGTGGCTCATGCCTGTAATCCTAGCACTCTGGGAGGCTGAGGCAGGAGGATTGGTCAAGGTCAGGAGTTCGAAACCAGCCTGAGCAAGAGTGAGACCCCCGTCTCTACTATAAATAGAAATAAATTAATTGGTCAACTAATATATATAGAAAAAATTAGCCGGGCATAGTGGCGCATGCCTGTAGTCCCAGCTACTTGGGAGACTGAGGCAGCAGGATTGCTTGAGCCCAGGAGTTTGAGGTTGCTGTGAGCTAGGCTGACGCCACAGCACTCACTCTAACCTGGGCAACAAAGTGAGACTCTGTCTCAGAAAAAAAAAAAAAAAAGACCCTAAGGAAACTCAGAGTGACAGATGGTAAGTAACTTACCTAAGATCACTGTGCAATGCTGAGACTAGGACCCAGGTCTTTCCAAAGCCTACACTCATAAATTATTTGATATAGTGTTTCCCCTATTTTAAAAGGCAGTGCTATACTCATACAGGGTGTTGATAAATTTTAAAAACTGAAAATCTGGTTTACTGAAATTGTAGAATACCAGATACTCTTCTAAGAGAGGCATAATTGTAGCTTATTGGGTTAATTTACCTTTTATAATGTATCAACAGTCTAGTCTTACTAACCAATTAAGTTTATAGTTTCTAGTGTTCTCCCTGCAACACTGAAGACTGTTTTCATCAGTGGGAAAGCCATATTCTCTAAGGCTGGCCTCTAAATCAAAATATACTCTCATTCAGGAATTTATTCTTCCTTTTATTTTTCAAAACCAGTGATGTGCTGTTTCCAAGTTCTCTGCTTTGTGATTCCTCAGTAGTTTCCAGTATGCAATGTCTTATTTCTGAAAGTAACCAGTGATCAACAAAACTTCTTGGCTGCATTATTGTTTATCCTTAAGAAATTTTTGAGGCCGGGTGCGGTGGCTCACTCTTGTAATCCTAGCACTCTGGGAGGCCAAGGCGGGCGGATTGCTAAAGGTCAGGAGTTCGAAACCAGCCTGAGCGAGACCTCTACTATAAAAATAGGAAGAAATTAATTGGCCAACTAATATATATATATATAAAAATTAGCGGGGCATGGTGGCACATGCCTGTAGTCCCAGCTACTCGGGAGTCTGAGGCAGGAGGATCGCTTGAGCCCAGGAGTTTGAGGTTGCTGTGAGCTAGGCTGACGCCACGGCACTCACTCTAGCCTAGGCAACAAAGCGAGACTCTGTCTCAAAAAAAAAAAAAAGAAAAGAAATTTTTTTTCTTTTTCCTTAACGTGGTATTCTGATTTTCCCCTTTCCTTCAAACATTTATTAAAAACTTAACTACGTACCAAGCACACACAAAATGGATATAACTTAACTCACTGAAGCCCAGACTTTGAAAGAAATGGCCTTGGAGTTTAGATATTTTGGCTAGAATATTATTTCCTTAACAAGCTTCTTAAAACCATTCATCCCCTGCTCAGTTTGCAATTATACACCAAAATATCCTTCAGCACAATCTCAGTGGCTACTTCTATAGCACATCATATGAAAAACAGCTACAGCCAACTCATTAGGGCTTACTCTAAGGATTTTAACTAACACCTTGGTCTTCTTTTGCTTACAAAAAAAGATTCTTAAGTCTTTTAACAGCTCTCTGACTTCCTTATTAGAGCTTCCTCACAAACATCCTGTTATCAAATGAACTGCCCATCCTTCTGGGGAAACACTCTGGAGGCTATTTCCTGATTTCATGCTTGGCTTTGTCTCTGGATTAGTACTCATTTAATATGAAACTGAGAGTCAAATATCCCTAGAATATTTAGTAAAATATGAGTACTATATTTCACAACGTCATCTTTGGGAATATAAACAATCAAAAATAAGTATTTGAGCAGTACTGTATCACATAATTATTGCAGTAATATTTTCAGAAGAAATCTGAAGTTCGGTAATTATGGGCCATAAAATATGGCCATACTGAATCAATATATGAAGCAATGTTCAAATCTGGATCATCAGAAAAAGATGAAAGGCTCATCTCTGAACTAAACTGATTTCCTTGACGAAGGAAAGTACTAGACATATTAGAGTATGTTTCTGAAGGACTGAGAAACAAATCCTTCATTCTCGGGAAAAAAATCAAATTATGCTGACAATGTCTTAGTTACAAGGAAAAAAAACCAGAGATGACTAACCTGAAAAAAAATCTCCTTCTGGTCTGTCTTGTATCTTTTTTAGGCAGTCTTGTTCCTGATAAGACATATGGCACAGGCCAGGTGCGGTGGCTCACAACTGTAATCCTAGCACTCTGGGAGGCTGAGGCGAGAGGATCGCTCAAGGTCAGGAGTTCAAAACCAGCCTGAGCAAGAGCGAGACCCCGTTTCTATTAATAATAGAAAGAAATTAATTGGCCAACTAAAAATATATATAGAAAAATTTAGCCCAGGCAAGACAGTGAGACTGTCTCACAAAAAACAAAACAAAACAAAACAAAAAACCAGAAGACATGGCACAAAATGTGGTTTTGCTCTATAGCAAGGTATGTAAGTTAGGGAATATAGCAGTTCTTTTTTTTGTTTTTTGTTTTTTGAGACAGAGTCTCCCTTTGTTGCCCAGGCTACAGTGAATGCCATGGCGTCAGCCTAGCTCACAGCAACTTCAAACTCCTGGGCTCAAGCAATCCTACTGCCTCAGCCTCCCAAGGAGCTGGGACTACAGGCATTCACCACCATGCCCGGCTAATTTTTTCTATATATATTAGTTGGCCAATTAATTTCTTTCTATTTATAGTAGAGACAGGTTCTTGCTCTTGCTCAGGCTGGTTTTGAACTCCTGACCATGAGCAATCCGCCCGCCTGGCCTCCCAGAGTGCTAGGATTACAGGCGTGAGCCACTCGCCCGGCCTCCTATAGCAGTTTTAATTTTTTTTCAGGATGTCATGTCTTTAACGTCCACCCGGCAAGAGGCTATAGCAGTTTTTAAATAGAAGAATTAGGTGATAACAGCAACAGGTAAGGAAGCCTTGAGCTTCTGAGAAAGGAATACTGGCATGCCTAAGTGGGCACAGCATATAATCTGAAAATGGTACAAGTACTGGCCTGCATAGCCTGTCTCTGTTGTAATTAGAGGGAAAAGTATTATAATCCAGCAGAAGTAGCCCTTCAGAGTCTAAGGAGGAACATTTTATGAGACATCAAAACACTCGCTGCATACAAAGGCAATAGATTAGGTGCTGAGGGATCAACCTCAAAGAACTCTTCACTACTTTGAAATTTAAAAACTGTACTCTCAGGCCTGTAATCCTAGCACTCTGGGAGGCTGAGGCGGGCGGATTGCTTGAGGTCAGGAGTTCGAAAGCAGCCTGAGCAAGATCGAGACCCCGTCTCTACTAGACCCCATCTCTACTATAAATAGAAATTAATTAACCAACTAATAAATATAGAAAAAATTAGCCGGGCATGGTGGTGCATGCCTGTAGTTCCAGCTACTCGGGAGGCTGAGGCAGCAGGATTGCTTGAGCCCAGGAGTTTGAGGTTGCTGTGAGCTAGGCTGACGCCACGGCACTCACTCTAGCCTGGGCAACAAAGCAAGACTCTGTCATAAAAAATAAAAATAAAATAAAACTGTACTCTCATTTCCTCAAGTATATATATTATATGCAATGTAACAAAATGCACATATTATCTTTTGCAGCAGTGTTAAACATGGGACTCATGAGAAAAATTGCTCAAAAAGCCCTTCTCCTTCAGCCTTTTGTTTATAGAAATATCCAACTGGTTCCCTGAAAATAGTATAAGCTTTCTTTAGCAAGTAGAATTATCATCCTGTTACTCTTCCTTTACCTTAATTTTTTTTCATAATACTTATGACTACCTGGCATTTTGCACACTTATTATGTCTCTCCCAACTAGAAAGCTTCTGTGAGAGCAGAGATTTCAAACATTTTGTTCACAGATGTATTCCCACTACCTAGAACTATGTCTAGCATGTAGTAGGTTATCAAAAATATTTACAAAAATAATAAAATAAAAATCTACCTATTATGTTAAAATTGTTAAATTCTAAAAATGTGGCATATCTGTGTATGTGTGAATATATGAGTAAATTTACAGACTCTGTGGTGTATGTAATTCCCAGTGTAGACCAAGTCAGCAGTCAGAGGATGAGAAGTTTGTGTGGGGAGATAGGAGAATGCAAAAAAACAAAGCAATATATCTTATTAAATGAACTGAAGGGATCAAACACTATCAGCCAACGGCTTTAAAGAGTGAGCTAAATGTACCTCTCTGTTCTTTCCATGTCTGCTATCTGATTGTAGTGAATTCAAATTCACTTCAGATTAGTTGGATTTACTAGCTTTCTTCCCTGATAAAGCTTTTAATATTTATTGAGGAAAGTTGTTTTCTTTTTCCTCCCTAAATTAGTGCCTGCAGGATTGAAAGAGTCTCCCATTTCTATTTTGGGATTTGCCTGAGTCACAAGGTAGTCTTGGCGAATCACTCTGCTCTATCTTTCAGTTTACTGAGGCTGCCTGGGAACTTGAATTGTCAGCCAAACAGGAAGAGGGCCCTTCTGCCTAACTCCAAAAGGCCTAAGTCATATGGATGTGGTGAGATTTAATGATGGATATAAATCATAGCAAATGGATTTCCCACAGGATGGGGGGGGGAGGGAAGCAAACATTTTACTTGACTTCCTCTATCCAAATTCAGGGCTGGCAGAGAGGGCAGACTATTACAATTTAGCTGAGCAAATTTTCCAATGTTTAAATAACATGTATTTTCAACAAAAGATACCCCCCTTCTGTATTCCCACTGTATATGAGTGACACCCCAAACCTCAAATATAAGAAATGTAACTAATCTGACCCTGGCAAAGTTACAGTTTGTTGTGTTTTTTTTTAAAGGGTCAGTGTTCATAAATGTGTATAACCACAAAGGCCCTTTTTCTTTTTCAAGGATAGGTATAAAGTGTTTCTTCCACCCAGATACTCTTATTTATCTAAGTGGTCTTGAATTCCTCATGGTTGTGCAGCTAGCTTCTCCCTAAATTGTTCTGTGCCTTAGCACTTATAATTTCCCCCCACGATGGCTCTTGACAGAATTATTCTTTCTCTACTCACATAAATGAAAATAGAAGAGATGAAAAGCCCTCGGGATGCAGCTGTGCAGGTGTCAAACTAATCCGCTGCTAAGAAGGACCTGAACCTCTCTGTTTCTCTTTACTTGGCTGAGTTCTGCTCTTGGCTCAGGGTTAGTGCTCTTGCATGGCATAGGAGGCTTAGGACCCAGGGGGCGCCTTTCAGCTGAAAAACACCTCTCGCTGCAGCAAGCTAGCTGGGAAGCTCCCAGTTCTAAAGAGAGGCTGTTTACCAGAAGAGCATAACAAGGGCAGGTCTGACTGCGAAGCTGGGGCTGGGAGGCAGAGCCGCCGCCAAGGGGACCCTGGTTGGACACTAGTTGTTCGATCGCCTGCAGGAGGAAGGAGGCGAGGATGCTGTTGGCCTGGGTACAAACATTGCTCCTCAGCAACATGCTTCTAGCAGAAGCCTATGGATCTGGAGGTGAGATTATGATCTTTCCTTTCTGCAGCAACTTAATGAAACAGAAGAGTAAAGACCCCTATTTCCCAAACATGACCAGATGACAGCAAAGCTCTTAGCTGTTTTGTTTTTGTTTTTGTTTTTTTGTCCATTGAAAGCCTTTTTCTTCCCTCCTTTCCTTGCCAGGGGCTTGCAGCTCCATCTTTGCCATTAAGAACAAAGGCAAGAAGCCACTTTCTCTTTCCCTTTTCTTGCTCATGAGTGGACAGAACTTGAGGGTTCATCTCCTCTACTTCCCAAGTCTTATTCTTTTCAAGACCTTAGCGCCCAGGCCCTCCTTCCCCAGCCTCCCCTTGTGGCTCTCCTGCTGAGGGGAGTGGGAGTTTGCAGTCACATCCAGGCAGCGATGAGGCAGGTTCCTCCTTTTGAGGCTCTCTTGAATCTTTCGCCTGACTGAATCGAGGCTTTTGTAGAATTCTCCTGGGAGTGTTGCCTGTTAAACTGACAGAAGGTAGCTGTATCTGCAGAGGAGGGAACACCAGAGTTTATATAACATGGGCATTACAACACAGCGATAATTCAGGTCTGGCCACCCCCTGAGCCCAAACTTCCAACATCTCCACAAAAAGACCCTAAGCCAGGCCTCGGTCCCCCCATCTCTCCCTCCAATGTGCCCACAAGTTCAAGAGTAACAACCCTCTGCACTTCTGCAGCGTTTTCCGGCTTTCAAGAAAAACAGCTAACACTCTGAGCGCTGACTGAGGGCCTGGCACTGGCTAGGGGCTTTACGGGCACTTTCTTTTCCTTCTCTTTCGGGCTCACAACAACGGGGGCAGATGGGTGGGGGTGTATCCACGAGAAGATAGGGAGGCCCAACAAGGCCCAGGGTTCTCCAGCCGGTCAGGGACACGGCGGAGTGGGCCCGGCTCCCCAGCCCGCCTGAGGGGAGCCACTCAGTGTCGGAGGCTCGTCTCCTTCACAGGCTGCTTCTGGGACAACGGCCACCTGTACCGGGCGGACCAGCCCTCGCCTGCGCCGGGCCTCCTCTGCCTCAACTGGCCGGACGCACAGAGCGGCCTGGCGTCGGTCCCCGAGTCGGGTGAGTGTCCGCGGGCAACAGCGGCGGGGCTGACGGGCAGCCGCGGTCCCGGCGCCGGCCCATGGCTCCCTCTCTCCCCTCTCAGGCGCGGGCAACCACAACTACTGCCGAAACCCTGACCGGGACCCGCGCGGGCCCTGGTGCTACGTCAGTAGCGAGGCTGGCGTCCCTGAGAAGCGGCCTTGCGAGGACCTGCGCTGCCCAGGTACCCGCCCGGACCCCGGGAACCGCGCGTCTGGGGGCTGACTGGGAGCGGCCGGTCCACCCGCTGCGCACGTGCGGCCCCGGGACGCGGCCGGCCCCGCCCCCGCGCCGTCCGATTGGCTAGGGCTGTCTCCAGGCCGCGGGGCCCAAAGCCCATTGGCAGCCGCGGCCGCGCGGAGTGACCTCATCTTCCGCGAGCGCTAGTAAACAACTGAGGTGGGCGCGGCGGGATCTTTCCGCCCCGCGCCCCAGGCGTGGCTCTTGTCAAGCCCCTCAGCGTTTACTGACTTTTTTGGGGAGCGTCTGCAGTGTGCTGGGCACACTGCTCACAGCTACCCTGGGAAGAAGCTCTTTGCAGCCTCTGAGCTCCAGAAAAGTTCAGCAGTTTACCAGAGGCAGTGGTAGGGTCCAGGTTGAGTCCAAGTTTCTCAGACTCCAGAATGCAGGCTTGTTGCTCTTCTGGCTTTAATGGGATAATCAGGGTAAAGCACTTCACACAGAGATTGGCACAAAGCGTGCACTCAGTAAATGTGAGCTGCTTAGAGCAGCCATGGATTGTCTCCTGGCGTGGAAGTGGGGGATCCCCTGGAGAAGATAGCAACCAGATAGCAAGGATTTGAAGAGATGAAGACAGGGAGGCAGGAGAGAGGCCCTTCGTTATGGCCTTCCCCTCATATTTGCCTTGTCACAGCAATGGTGCAGACCTCTCAGGCGGGATCTTGCCCCTGGGGTAGGGTTTGATTTCTGAGATGACCCGCCTCTGTCTCCCCTACTAGTAGGGCCAGGTTCAGCTGTCAGTGCAGTCTCTGATGAGAGCTGTTTTCCACCTCACCTCCAGAGACCACTTCCCAGGCCCCGCCATCCTCCACAGTAGAAACTGAGGAGGCATCTGAAGTGCCAGGTGAAGATGAGGTGGAGGTGTTCGCCCCAGCCAACGCGCTGCCCGCCCGGAGTGAGGCGGCAGCTGTGCAGCCAGTGATTGGGATCAGCCAGCGCGTACGGATGAATGCCAAGGAGAAAAAGGACCTGGGAACTCTGGGTATGACGGCGTCACCCCCGCCCTTGTTGGGATTCAAGAGACCGTTCGCTGATTGTCTGGGGTGTGGCTAATGGGACCTTGTGTCCTGTCTTTGGCAGGCTATGTGCTGGGCATTACCATGATGGTGATCATCATTGCCATCGGAGCTGGCATCATCTTGGGCTACACCTACAAGAGGTCAGTAGCTTCTCTTCTGGTCCCTCTTGAGAGAGAGGAGGGGAGGAAGGTACACAAAGTCAAATCAGACTTTGTGGCTTTCTTACCCCAAAGGAAGCGAGGTGTTGAAAGAAGGAAAATCAACTCATGTTGTAGAGAATTGGTTCCATTCTTTACCAGGTGACCTTGGACAAACCCTTTCCTATGGTGCCTTTACTCCTCACCCCAAAACCAGTGAGGTAGCGGTTCTTGTTCCCCATTTTACAGATTAGGAGGCCTCTTTCAGTCGTGAAGTGATTTGCCCGAGGTCACACTGCCTAAGAATGGCAGAATCTGGATTCAGACTCGGCTCTTTTTTTTTGATACAGAGTCTCGCTTTGTTGTCCACGCTAGAATGAGTGCTGTGGCATCAGCCTAGCTCACAGCAACCTCAATCTCCTGGGCTCAAGCGATCCTACTGCCTCAAGCCTCCCGAGTAGCTGGGACTACAGGCATGCGCCACCATGCCCGGCTAATTTTATATATATATCAGTTGGCCAATTAATTTCTATTTATAGTAGAGACGGGGTCTCGCTCTTGCTCAGGCTGGTTTTGAACTCCTGACCTCAAGCAATCCTCCTGCCTCGGCCTCCCAGAGAGCTAGGATTACAGGCGTGAGCCAATGCGCCCGGCCCAGACTCAGCTCTTTTGATGCCAGATTCCATTGCTGTCTAACCCAGTGTGCCTGGCATGGAAGTCAGCGGCACTGCAGAAATCGGGCTAGACATTCATTGTAGGGACTGGGAGACAATTATTTCTGTGGGTTATAACATTTTGCTATTAGAAAAGGTTCACAGCCACTGTTTTGGCAGTTGGGGCTTAAATTTCTTGAGCCATAAGCATTGAGGATCTCCTCTGATAGGAAGAAAAAAGTGAGTTGGAGCATAGAAAGTCTGTTTGCCACTCCTCACCATGTGTGAGAAAGCCAAAGAGGCTACCTGTGAAACTGAGAGAGAGGACCTGGGGCTTAGTGGGAGGAAGAATGCTTATTTTGAAATGTCCCATGAGATGTGGTATGGAAAAGATTCTCAAAGTCGGTGATGGGTGCATGATGATAAGCCAGAGTCTCATTCATTTTTACAGCACTGGCTGACTCTGGAAAATTACTTGCCATTCTTGGACAAAATTGGAGGATTTGACTTCTAGTCCTCAGTGTCTGATTATTTCTTTTCTGCACTCTAAGAAGTCTTCCTGTAAAGGAAGTGACACAGTGGCCTACATTTTCCAGTAGTAAGGGTCATGTTTGAGCCCACAGCCCCATTGGATCCACCAGCATTATATAGTATAAACCTTGAGTGTCCTCAGAGGTGTGTTAGTCAACCTCCTCATTATAGATGAAAAAGGGGAAGTGCTGCATAATACTAATAGCAGTAGCGAATGTTTACCATATGCCAGACACTGCTTTAAGGACTTTGCATGCTTTAACTCAATTCTCACAATCACCCTTATGAGGCAAATGCTGTTATTATCTCCAGTTCACAGATGAGGAAACAGAGGCAAGAGAGGATATGCTCCTTGCCTGATGTTATACACCCAGCATTTGATGGAGAGAAGTCCTAGCCCTGCCACTAATTAGCTATCTTTGTGACTTAGGGAAAGTTCCTTCTATTTCCTATTCCAGAGCATTGCTGTGGGGCTAAGGCATGTGACTGCTTAGCTCAGTGTGTGGCATATAGTAAGTGGTCAGTAATGAGAGCTGTTTTTCTTTTCTATAAAGTGTGGGTATTGGACTCGTGCTCTCCAAGCTCCATTCCTGCTCTGATTGTCTGTAATTCAGGAAGCAGAGCTCCAGGGAGGGGGAGAATATTGACCTGAGAGGGCATGCTGAGTCCCAGTCTGCGGTGGTTGCCCTCAGTGGGGTGGTTGACACAGCAGGTCTAGGAATACCTGCTTATTCATTTCAAAGAGATGATGAGGTAGTGGCCCTAGCCTTACAATTCATACTTAGATCCAAACCATGTTGGCTAAGTTTAGCCCTTGAAAGATTTCCTTTCCTCAGCCTCCAGACAGCATTTGGCTCTCCTCCAATCCTGTGACAGTTTCCAGGCCTTCCAGGTGCTTGAACTGACTAAACTTTCTTAATTCTGAGCTCAGTTCTGGAACCCAAGGGAAGCTAAATTTTTTTCTTCTACATTTGTTCTTCTAGGCTGTCATGGGACTGCCCTGAGACCTAGAATTTACTTCCCTGTAAACTTAGGGCAAGGCACCAGTCACCAGACATCCCCGTCACTAACCACCGGACCACCCCTTTCCTCGGCAAACTGCTCTGAGAACAGACTGTACAACAGGAAACCACATGTGAGCTAGAGACAATTCTCAGCTCACATTTCTCCCTAAAGTCAGAGAACTGTATCCAGGAAAGAGCTGTAGGTTGAGTGCAGGTTTAGGTATCCTCTGAACCTTGGATATAGAGGGGTCTCCACACCCACCCACCCAAGATTATCATAAGTATTAAATGTAAACAGAAACAGAATGCCAGTCAGGTAATAATCACAATAGCAGCCAACATTTATTTTGTGCTGTTTTTGTTCTTTTTCTTTTTTTTTTCTTTTGAGACAGAGTCTCACTCTGTTGCCCGGGCTAGAGTGCTGTGGCGTCAGCCTAGCTCACAGCAACCTCCAACTCCTGGGCTCAAGCAATCCTCCTGCCTCAGCCTCCTGAGTAGCTGGGACTACATGCATGAGCCACCATGCCTGGCTAATTTTTTCTATATGTTTTTAGTTGGCCAATTAATTTCTTTCTATTTTTTAGTAGAGACGTCGTCTCGCTCTTGCTCAGGCTGGTTTTGAACTCCTGACCTTGAGCGATCTGCCTGCCTCGGCCTCCCAGAGTGCTAGGATTACAGGTGTGAGCCACCGTGCCCAGTCTTGCTCTGTCACCTGGGCCAGTGTGCCATTGGGTAAGCCCAGCTCACAGCAACCTCAAACACCTAGGCTCAAGTGATCCTCTTGTCTCAAACTCCCAAGTAGCTGGGACTACAGGCGCATACCACCATGCCCAGCTAATTTTTTCTATTTTTAGTAGAGACAGGGTCTTGCTCTTGCTCAGAGCTCAGAGTGGTCTTGAACTCCAGAGCTCAAGAGATCCTCCTGCCTTGGCCTCCCAGAGTGCTAGGATTACAGGCATGAGCCACCACCCCCAGCCCTATTTGTGCTTTTTTAATAAGGTCCTACTGGGTACTCTTTCTTGATAATTTTGCTTAATTCTCACTACCCCCCAAGCTACACAGCTAGCAGGTTATGTCTAAGGATTATCAGTATCTCCAATAAGTCCAGTGAGGCCCAGTAGTCTCACGTAAATTTGCTTTGAATTGCAAAGGACAGTAGGAAAAGTATGAACTTAAAAAAAAGGCTGGGTTTAAAGTCAAAAGAACCAAGATCAAGTTCTGGAATTGTCACCAATTCTGGATGCAACACTGGACAAGTTATTTATTTACCTTCCCTGGTCCTCAGTTTCTTCATCTGTAAATAATGTAGGGGCAGGAGGTTAGATATGATGATCTCCCAGCTCTAATATTTCCTAAAAACACAATATTGCCTGGTGGTGGCTACAGGCAGTACTGGGTTAAAATCATAGCTCTGCTATTTACTTGAACAAATGATGTAACTTCTCTGCATGTGCTTTCCTATCTCTGAAAACAGAGATCATAAACCACATAGGTAGGCTGGGCATGGTGGTTCACGCCTGTGATCCTGGCACTTTGGGAGGTTGAGGCAGGAGGATCAACTGAGCTCAGGAATTCAAGACCAGCCTGAGCAAGAACGAGACCCCATCTCTACAAAAAATAGAAAAAATTAGCCAGGTGTGGTGGTACGTGCCTATAGTCCCAGTGACTCAGGAGGCTGAGGCAGGAGAATCGCTTGAGCCCAGGAGTTTGAGGTTGCAGTGAGCTATGATGATGCCACTGCACTCTAGCCCCAGCAACAGAGTGAGACTGTCTCAAAAAAAAAATCATGTATGTTGTGGTGAGGATGAAATCAGACAATGTAGTGTGTAGTTTGGGTGTACAGTTGGTGTTTATAAACTGCAGCTGCCTTGGGGGACTTCTCCTGAGCAGCAGTGTGGCACAACACGACTTTCAGACTGGGAGAATGGCAGTGGCTCATTAATAGTTGAAGAAACCTGTGTTGTCTGAAGGAGGTCTGTGGTGCTTCCATCACCCTGAGAGAGGAAACTAGACGCAGTTGGCAGCTCCAGCCATACCTGCTCTCTGGCCAGCCCAGCTCCCGACTCCATTCCTGCCCTGGAGCAGTCAGGGTAATTATATAAGCCTTGAACTCTACCCAAGGCCATGAGGCTTGGCTAATGGGACTGAGCTTTCCCCTGGCTGGGAAGGGTGGGCATGCACTAGGCTTCCTCTCACGGGAGGAAAGGCAACAAGAGGTGGCGGGTGGGGGCTCAGCCTGGCTGGGTCTTTGTCCTGGTAGTCTAGGCCAAGAGGTTCGAATGGCCTGTGACTGAGCAGCTCCCTTCCCTGCTCCAAGTGTGGTTGTCTGCACTAGCTCTGGAAGGAGCTCTTGTTTTCTGATAAAGAGGGGAGGGAAAAACTTTAAGTCAACACCACTCCACCCCCTTAGGAGAGGAGCTGAGTCAGTGAATAAGCCTTTTGTTCTTTCTTGGCTGCCAGCAACAGCCCAGCTAACCCTCCTTCGCCTCTCCCACCCCAAAGCCAGGAGAGGGTGCTGAGCTTCCTGATGGTCATTGCAGCAGGCCTGGTGGCCTCTCTCAGGTCTCTGCAGGGAGCTGGGGGCAGCCACTGCATCTCCAGGCCTCCCAGGCACCATTAGCAACAGGCACGTGAGACTGGGTGTGCTTCCAGGCTTCTAAATGGATGAGCCTAATCCGGACTAGTCCCAGCATCTGCTTCCTTTACCCTTGGCTGCTCTTCCAGCCCTGCTTTGCTCCATTAATACGAATTGATTTTTTTCCCCTGAAGACTTGCATATGATGCAACCTGACCATTAGCAGCAACTCAGCTGGCCACAACCAGATGCCTGGTAAAGAAGGTAGTGCGGAAGGCAGGGCTCTGGAGTCAGATTCCAAAACCTTACTTTCTTCATCTCTAAAATGGGGATATGTCGGCGGTGTAAAAAAAAAAAAAAATAAAATGGGGATAATATTATCTTGAAAGGTTGGAAATTAAAAGATGATGTGTAATATCCAGTAGGTGCACAGGTAGTAGCTCTTTTCATCCTGGATGATGAGAAGGCCATTTCCTAGTACCTTAGTAGGTATTCAGGAAGTGTGAATTCCAGGCTTTCTCTCTTCTCCCAGCTCCTTAAGTGTTGAAACCCAGGCCTTGGAGAAAGACACTTGCATCCTCCATTTCTTTTGTAAATTGCCTTTTGGTCTTCCACTGGCTTGGGGTCTCTGTTAATTAAACCCAGACCTTCCAAATTTCTCCCTACATGGACAACCTTAAGGAATCTGGCTTTTAATTTTATTACAGAGGCAGGTGTTTCCTTCTATGTTATGGCAGCAGTAACTGATGAACGGTGCCCAAGAGAAGTGATTCTCAGGACGTAAATGGGAAGCACTTGGTCCAGATGACCTCCTCCCCATGAATAGTGTCCTTCCATTTCCCCTCTGAGTGCTCTGGGAGTTTTTCTGCTGTGGGAGTTGGTGGTGTCCAGTATAGAAGCTAATGAGGATGGAGCAGGAGCTTCACGTTGCATCTAAACAAACTGGGTCACCCAGGGTGACTCAGGAGGATGAGCTCACAAATTTGCCTCCTGTGACCTTGTAGTGAGAAATAGGGAAGCAGAACATATGTCATGTGAGGGACTTTATAGAATGTCAAGGGCCTTGGAGATTTTCAAGTCCAACTCCTCATGATAAAATTAAGGCCCAGAGAGGAGGGGATTATTGAGGTCACATAAACAATGCTTGGCTGGTGAACAGGAGCGTTTCCTTGGGAAACCAAATTAAGATAATTTGCTTGGTGAGTCAAGTCATATGCAGGGCAAATCATAATAACCTTTTATGACTTTTTATAGCAGTTTCACTGTTTTCAAAGTGCTTTCACATTCATTATTTTGAGGCAGATATTATTCCCATTTCAGATGAAGAAGTCAAAGTACAGAGATGCTCTTTTGGCACCTGTCACACAGCTAAGGCTGAGCTGGTACGAACACAAGTTAAGGGAACTGGATGATTTAAAGACAGTTCTAAGGCACCAGTGCAAACTCTTTCTCCTCTAACACTACCCCCCCCCCCATTTTCCCAGTATTCTTCACCAGGCTCTGGAAGCTTCTGTCATTGCACTGAACATCATGATAGATGTATAATCTGTGTTATCCTAGCCCTATCCCTGAGATCTGAAGTAGGTCCCTGTGTTGTTTCACCAAGTTATCTACCAGCTGCTTGTTTCAACGTTCCTTCTGGGAAGATTTCCTCTGACAGCTGAGGCCACAGCCAGTTGCTGGCTTTAGAGGATGCTAACCTGTGTCCTGGGTACAGGTTCTGGTGTACAGGGTGCTGGGCACTCACCAAGCCCTCTGGTCAGCATTAAGGGTGGCCCAGTCCACTGGGAAGGACACTTTGCCAACAGAACACTGGATTTGAGTTGCTGACTCACCATTTTTTGTCAGAACTCTGAGCAACAGACTTGGGTTTGAGCCCACAGCATCCTTCCTTAATTTCTCTGGGCCATTTTTTCATCTATAAAATGAGTAGGACCTAGGCTGGCTGCAGTGGCTTATACTTGTAATCCCAGCACTTTGGGAGGCTGAAGGGGAGGAATGCTTGAGGCCAGGAATTTGAGACCAGCCTGGGCAACATAGCAAGACCCTGTCTCTAAAAAAAATTGTTTAAAAATTAGGCAGTCATGGTGGCGCACACCTGTAGTTCCAGCTACTCAGGAGGCTTAGACAGGAGGATCGCTTGAGCCTAGGAGTTTGAGGTTGCTGTGAGCTACGATGATGCCACTGCATTCTTGCCAGGGCAACAGAGGGAGACCTTGTTTCAAAATAAAATAAAACAAAGAGTAAGACCTAATTCTTAGGGCTGTGCTGAGAATGACATGATGCCCTCATGGAGTGCTGCATGTGAGTAAAACAGAGTTGCACCATGGCCTGATTGGGTTCCTGAGCACCATGAGAATTCAAAGGTCTGTGAAAACTAAGTGGTCTGATGATCATTGTCTCATTGTTTCCCATTGACCCTTCTCATAGTCCTTTTTTGCCCCCTGCATGGGTTAGGGATGGTCCGTTTTCAGCCCAGGGTCACATATTATGGGACTTCAAGATAAGAAGGCTGTCTCAGAGCAGGATGGTCAGGTCAGTTTTCTGGACTTTATGGGTTAGGACCAAAGCTTGGATAGTTCTCTGAGTCTCCTGGAGCCCCGGGCTAAAAGAACACAACTACGACTTGTTTTAAAGTCTCTGTCCCCTGCTTATTTCCACTGAGCCCCACTGCAGTAAGTGTGGTCCATACTGCTGTTGCCCCCATTTTGCAGATGGGGAAGCAGAGACCAGAGCTACTGGAGCTCCTGTTGAGTTTAAGGTGGCCTGGTAGAATGGGTATCTATTATCTGGCCCTTGAGTTTGAGTCCTAGCTCACTGATTTGCTGTGGCCATGGTGAGCCGCTGCTCCCGTCTAGGCCTCAGGAGTGCTTATCTAATGAGCAAAGCATGCAGTAGGCATAGCCTGAATGCTTCCCTTTTTTCCTGCAGGGGGAAGGATTTGAAAGAGCAGCATGAGCAGAAAGTATGTGAGAGGGAGATGCAGCGGATCACCCTTCCCTTGTCTGCCTTCTCCAACCCCAGCTGTGAGATCATGGATGAGAAGACTGTCGTGGTCCACGCGAGCCAGACTCCAGTCGACCCTCAGGAGGGCAGCATCCCCCTCATGGACCAGGCCGGCACTCCCGGGGCCTGAGCCGCGCCTGTGGGCAGGAGCCCATGCAGACACTGGTGCAGGACAGCCCACCCTCCTACAGCTGGGAGGATCTACACTTTGTGTTATGGTTAAAACCCTACCCCCACTTTTTTTTTTTCTGGGTGAATCCTAATAACAGAAGCAGGTGGCGCTGTGGGCTAAGGGCAAGGCTGGGTAGGCTCCTAACAGTGCTCTTCCATCCCTTGGAGCAGGATTTTGCTGGTGGATGGAGACAGCAGCAGCTCCCCCTGCGGTGCTGCAGGCAGGGGCTTCCAAACGTTGCCTGTTTCCTTGGAACTGAACCAGGGACAGACAGGGAGCTCCCCAGGCTCCTCTGTGCTTTACTAAGATGGCCTCAGTCTCCGTGGTGGGCTTTAGTGGCCTGCACTGTTATTCATAGATAAGGTCAAACAGGTCAAGTGGCAGCATTGAAAAAATACATTTAGTTTTAAAAAGTATTTGGGATGGAACTCCCTACTGACCTCTGAAAACCAGAAATGAGTTTGTGCAGAAGTCAGAAATTTGGGCTGAGAATGAGATCTAGGCTGTGGGCTGCTGGGTGTGCCCCAGCTCGCTGGCAGTGATGTGCCTTGATAACCACGGGCCAGGCCTGGGCCCAGGGACTCTTCCTGTTTCGTAAGGAAAGGAAGGGAAGAATTGCACTGAACATTCCCCTTAGGAAGAGGAAAGAGAAGGATCCGCTCTAGCTTTAGGTCCCAGGGGCAGAGGTGGACCTGAGGTTCATTTTACACGGGTAAGATAGCAGCCAGCTAACCCATGGGAATTATGCTGTGGGGTCCTGGGAGCTGCTTCTGGGAGGTTAACCTGGAAACTAAGCTCAGAGGCAAGGTAATAAAAGTACCTCAGGGCTTGCCCCTGTAGTGGGCCCCGATGTGGCAGGGGATCCTGTGGCCTCTAGGCCAGCACCTTCCTGTAAGAGTGAGGCTAGGGTTATAACCTTAACTTGCAAAACAATAATCATAGAACCATTGGAAAGGGACTTAGGGTTCTCTAAGCCTTTTGGACATAGGCCCATAGAGGGAAAAGTGACTTGCTCAAGGTCACAAAGCAAGCTACTGGCATGGCCAAGAGGAGAGCCCAGCTTCCTGACTGAGCGCAACATTTCTCCACTGCACCATGCTGGCGGCTCAGTAGGGCCTCCCGGTCCTGATGCCACACTCAGAGAGGCCTTGGCAGCACTCGAGAGCCACAGGGCTTCCTTCCCAGGGCCCTTCCACAGCTCGACGTGGAGACGGGGGTTAGCGGAGCCCATTCCCTTCAGCAGGCTGTTCCCTGGAGTCATTTGCTGTGGGGGCCTAGACCTCAGGCGGTCCCTTGGTGATGCTAGAGAAGAGAACATTACTGGTTTCTACTTTTCTATAAAAGCATTTCTCTGTATACATGTTTTATATACCTCATCTTGACACCTGCATATCAAGTGTGGGAAATTGCTCTGTATTAGACTTATTAAAAAAAAAAAGATCCATGTTGCTAGGTCTTTGTGGAGTGACACTCCCATATAAGTTGGGAAGCTTTGGGTTACCTTGTCAACCTGTGTGGCAAGCTCTGGCCTTCTCTTCATTCACCCTGGCCCTGTAACTGGAAGGTGGCAACAGTTGAATGGTTGTAGCGGAGCTGTAGCCTCCGCATTCTGATTGTCATCATCAGGAATCTTTCAGGTTGAAGCTGCAGGAAGGACGTATATGCATGTGTCCCTGGAGGGCCACTGGTCCCTGGAAATCCTTTCCCCATTTGTATTCTTTCTGAGGTGGAGGTAGTTAAAATGAATATCCAGACAGCCCTTGTTAGGGGCTAGAGACATGGGGCTGCAGCAGCCCTGGGCTGAGGAAGGTCCCTGTGAGGTGACTCCTAGGGCTCCACAAGGAAAGATCCCAATGGGAGTGTTTTCTGGACTTTTAGCGGGGGATTTCAGCAATAGTTCTCAGCCTCCCGGAATACTCAGGGCAGGTGACCTCCACCCATGCGCAGACACTGCTCCATAGTTCTGCCAGCAATGCATACCCCCAGATCACCAGTTTTTCCAGGAACCAGATGTTGCCCTTAAGTTGGATCCCTCAAACTTTGGGAGTGCTTGGGAGAAATCACCTTTGGGTTTATGGATTTACATTGTGCCCAACACTCCACTAACCAGATAGTATCATCCTGCTCAATGGTCACTCTTCACAACATCCCCTAGGTGCAGAAGCAAGTAAAGAGTCTTCGTCCAAGCACTTAGAGGGAAACAAGGGCAAGAGTGACTTGCATTCATTTCTCATTACATACGTGGCACCCAGCCCTGAGGAGGGACAGCCAGGACCCGCAGGCTGTGGAAGCGTTTGTACATTAGAGGGTGGGAGTGTAGGGGTCCTAAGGAACCATTCACCTGGCAGGGGAAGCCAGGCAGAGCAGCTTTGTGGGGCCCAAGATGAGGTCATAGTCAAACCTCTCCAAGGAAGGGGCTGCCTCAGCTGGGACATACATGTTCTCTGGAGTAGGCTGGTACCTGCTTAAGGAGAGGGAATTAGACTTGGGAGCATGTAAACGCTCTGCTGTGGGGAGTCGTGTGGCCTGGGCCTGAAGGTGGCCAGCAGACCCTCCACATTTATCTTCCTGAGCCAGGCCCCAAATCACTTTTTCATTCTCAATATCACCAGTTATGTTAACTGCTTAATTTATTTAGTCTGCTCAATGGCCCAGTTCAGGCCCACCACTCCCACACTTGCTGAGGACAGCTGAGGTACAGCCAGCCACACGATGCTGAACTGTGCTGCTGCTGGGAGTCCAACCCTACAGCAAGCTTGCAAACATCACACGGAAGTACAGTCTATACAGCAAGTAAACTCTGGCCAGAGATGACATCTGATCCCACAACTCATCAGATCTATGTACAATATTTCACATATCACCCAATAGATATAACAAGATAATAACAGCAACCACTCTCCTGGATCACTCCCCCCACCACCCCAACACAACCACCACACATTGCATGAATACCCCAAACCCATTCCCAATTTGTTAAATATGGTGCAAGCTCACAAACACTTAGGAGGTGGCAAATCTAGCTGTGCTGAAGACTCCCTGGTGCTCTGGGAGCAGAAGTGGAGGTGCCCCCAGGCTTTCCAGTGCCGTGGCTCAGAAAGCTGCAGCCAGGAGCTAGTGAGCTGGGCCAGCCAGCAAGGGAGGTAGAAGCCGGATGGCCCAGCTCAGGGAGCTGTCTCTCTCAGCATCTTGGCTCTGGGCCTCTGCCACCACCTCTTCCCAGCCCAAGTTGCTGCCTGGAACAGGTTATGTTGGGCGAGCAGTGGCTGCCCCAAGGACAAGGACAAGAGATTGCTGAGACTCCCACTCCTGTGGCCTCAGACCCTAGGTCTGTGACAAGCCACATTGTCCTCCAGAACCCATCTAGCTTCAGGCAAATGTCTTAGGAGCCCACAGGGTATGAGTAACAGCAGCTGGGAGATGGGGTTTCTAGAGGGCAGGGCCTCTTTCCTTCTAGCCCCCAGCCTCTTCCTGTGCTTATGGGTGACTGCTTGTTGCAGAAAGAAAGGATGTTGCCCAGAAGTTCTCAGCCAGTCTCCAGTGGTAAGTTTGAGGCTCCCCTCACACTGATATGGTCCCTGGGCTGGCTAGAGCCACCACACCGTGGCTGGTGAAGACAAGCCAGCCCTTTTCCTGACTCCTGGCCAGTTCCACCAATATAGACTAAGGGGCTCTTCAAAACCTCCTCCCTCAACCTCTCCTCCAGGGAGGGCAGGATCTGGAGTGGACAGGAGAGCACCACTCTCATTTCACACCTGTGAGTGCACCTGGCCACCAGTTTTTCTCTTGTCCACTCTCCCACTTGATGTCCTTGTCCACCCAGCTGGACTAGAGACTTCAGAGCTCACAGGCAACGTTACCCTGGGATCCTGCCCAGCAGGTCCAGGTCATGCTGATTAGTGTAAGCAAAAGCCTCCTAGAATCCCATTGTCAGGGAGTTCCCAGGTGGATCCAAGTAACAGATTCTTCCTGGCCCTAAGGGCAGGCTTTTTTTTTTTTTTTTTAAATCTTCTTCACAGCTTTCTGGCGAGTGTTAGATTTACAGACGGTAACCAGGCCCCCAAAACTGTGGAGACACGTTTCCCTGGTGCTGCGCCCGCTCGCCTCCTGGAGAGGTAGTAGGGATGGCTTGTTCTCCTTCTAAACAAGCCGTCAATCCACAGGAAGCCCAATGGCCCTGCTCACAGCAGGGATGGGGCGCAGAGGGGGCAATGTTGGTTGTGGAACACCCCCCTGCAGGGGGCTGGGCCGGGGCTAGGGGGGTGAGTCCCGGGTGAGGCCGTACTGCACGCTCACAGTGTGGTCCAGCTCCTCCAGCTCTGCAGGCAGTGGGATGCCCAGCTCCCCCAGGTACAGGGAGAGTGCCTCAAAGGAGTCCTCCAGTTTTGAGAATGCCGGTCTAGAAAGAAAGGGTGAATGAGAGGCAGGTGGAATATGAGCAAGGCCACAGGGTGGCATGGAAGGAATCCAGGTTCAGCCACTTTCTGGTTGTATGACCTCAGGCAAACCCCTTAACCTAGTTGTGCCTCTGTGAGAAATAGGAATAATATGTTACTGCTACCTCATAGAGTTGCTATAAAGATGCTATTAAAGATGGCCAGGCGTGGTGGCTCACGCCTGTAATCCTAGCACTCTGGGAGGCCAGGTCAGGCAGATTGCTCAAGGTCAGGAGTTCAAAACCAGCCTGAGCAAGAGCAAGACCCCGTCTCTACTATAAATAGAAAGAAATTAATTGGCCAACTAATATATATAGAAAAAATTAGCCGGGCATGGTAGCGCATGCCTGTAGTCCCAGCTACTTGGGAGGCTGAGGCAGCAGGATTGCTTGAGCCCAGGAGTTTGAGGTTGCTATGAGCTAGGCTGACGCCATGGCACTCACTCTAGCCTGGGCAACAAAGCGAGGCTCTGTCTCAAAAAAAAAAAAAAAAAAAAAAAAAGATTAAAGATAACACTGTGAGAAGGATGGCCTGGCTGGAAGTGGTAGCTTAGAAAACACAAGTCCAGAGAAAAGAGGCCCCTCCCACATCTTAGGCAAAATGCAATTATCAAAGGTAGGGTTGGACTAAGTGCCTTTTTTTTTTTTTTTTTTGTGATAGAGTCTCGCTTTGTTGCCCAGGCTAGAGTGAGTGCCGTGGCGTCAGCCTAGCTCACAGCAACCTCAAACTCCTGGGCTCGAGTGATCCTTCTGCCTCAGCCTCCCAAGTAGCTGGGACTACAGGCATGCGCTACCATGCCCGGCTAATTTTTTCTATATATATTAGTTGGCCAATTAATTTCTTTCTATTTATAGTAGAGACGGGGTCTCGCTCTTGCTCAGGCTGGTTTTGAACTTCTGACCTTGAGCAATCCGCCCGCCTAAGTGCCTTTTTAAAGATCCTTTCCAATCCTCAGACTTGCTATCTCCACACCAGTGCATCTCCCCAGGAAAGGGCATTTCCTGAATTCAGCAGTTTTTCCCAAGGCTCCCAATG